TTCCTCTTCCACCCCAGCCTGGTCCTGCTATTGGCAGGGTTGGGTTTCGACCTGTTTGCTGATTCAAGGAAGCATCCTGGACTGGGCTATGGCTGCTGGTGTTTGAGGATGAATGATTATGGCCCTGATGATGAAATGGTACTTGTCATTTATTCTGGGCCAGCTACGGTGCTCAGCATTTTCTACTCACTGTTTCATTTAATCTTCACAAGTAGGTGTAATTATTATACCCATTTTAGAGGTGAGAGAACTGAGACGCCTGAGTAGGTGGAGTGGTTGCTTGAGGTCACCCAGCTCAGGAGCGGCAGGGCTGGGATTGGAATCCTTGTTTTCTCAGGGAGCAGTCTAGACTCTTCCCTGATGGGCGCCCTCCTGACACGTTCCCTGCGGAGGGGACTTGGTCTTGCTTTTCTCCTTTCTGGGTCTTCTTTGCCTCCTGGCCCCTGGGCTCCCAGGCCCCCTGTGTACACCTCTCCTGTAACTGCCGTCCCCCCTGTGCTCCCCGGGCAGGCAGTGGGTGCTCATGGAGTGTTTGTGAATAAGTGAGCCTTTTTTCCAAGGAACTCCGAGTCTACCAGAATGTTCTTTCTCCCCTTACCCCCAGGTCTCCCGCTGCACCCCTTCAGAGCCAGCAATTGGTGAATAAATGGAGGCAAGAACGTATGAATGAATCATTTCTGTGCCTGAGCCATGGAGAATTTGGAGGTTTGTTCAAACCTGGACTCTCTGTTCTTTCAGCTGGAGGGGCTGGCTGGGAAGGTGATCTCGGCACCTGAGCTGGGCCTCCCCCAGGCCTGTCAGCTCCCTGGCACGTGCACAGGGAGTGGGAATGAGTGAGTGGGAGTGGGTATGGGCCCCTACTCTAGTAGAACCTGTGCTAGGTGTTTTATTTATATTAACATAAATAGGAATGAGTATGTGAGGGGACCTGGGGCCCACAGGCAATGGGCAACCTGTGCACAGGGACACTGAGACAGGCTGGGCTTCTCCCTGCCAGGGCAGAGGAAAGGGAGACCTCTGCCAGGGCCTGGGCATCCTGGACTGGGGCCTCTCTCTCCTCAACAGGCTCTGTTGAAGGAAGCGGCCCATGGAGGGGCCAGACATCAAGGGCTCCTGGGACCTTGTGCAGATGTGGGATGTCTGGACTGAGAGCTTCTAGGCCCAGTTCACACACTTGGGTGGGGAGGGATCGGTGTTGGCCTGTTTGGGGGGTGAGGGGCCTGAGGAAACGCCGGTCCTTTTGATGCCCCAGAAGAGCTGCTTGCCCCCTGCCCCAGCCTGGATGGAGGTGGCATCCCCCAGGCCTGTCACCTCTCCCACACCCAGTGGCAGCCCTCCCCCCCCACACCAGTGGCACTCTTCCATAGCAGTTTCCACAGTTTTATACATGAAAAGGTCACACATGGGGCAAAATCTCAGCTTCCCCACTTACTAGTTTTATGAATTTTGCAGGTAATCTAACTTGGATCCCATTTCTCAGTTGTACCATGGAGATAATACCTGTCATCACCAGGTTGTTGTGAGGGTAAAATAAGATTCAACAAATACCTAGCTGACATCTTCAACCCTTGGGCTTTGCGAGGCTGATGTGCATCACTGCTGGGGAGGGGCACCAGGTACCAAGGAAGAGGGAGGAGATGCTGATTTCCTCCCTAGCCCCGGGCTCAGGCAGGCCACGTCAACCCTGAAACAGCTCCAGAATTGCCCAGCCAAGAGAAGGGTCGAGAATCTGAGCACCAGGTTTTTGGATGGAACCTGACCTAGGTAGGCTCTTCTCATCCTTGCCCACTCCTAAGGGTCTAGTGGTCTCTGATGGCCAAATACCAGAAGAGGTGTGCCCTGTTCTCATCACCTGTCAGCACAGGGAGCGGGGGCAGTTCCCAACCTCATGGAACCTGCTTCCGTGTGGAAAAGGCCCTGTGGGAATGGGCACCCGGAAGTGTCCTGGGCCGAGGGGAGAGGTGGTAAAAGGGGCCTGTGACACTGTGCCCACCCAGGGGTCAGGTGAGGATGACCAATCGTTTCGTGAAGTTAACAGGGGCTGGGTCACTCCAACTCTCCCTATCCCAAAAGGGGCCCCAGAAACAAAACAAGCAGGGAGCAAGCAGAAGGTTATTATATATCATGCTTTTAATACAAACTTAAAAAAATCTGGAACAATATAAACTGTACAGATTTGATCAATCTTTTTGTTTTGTTTTTAAACTAAATCTCTAAACACACCAATGTTCCATTCCAAAATATTGCACAACATCCTGAATACAAAACGCTTGATTGTATTCCTCCTTCACTAAAGAAAACAAATTCATTACCCTGCTCTCGCGAGCTCCTCTCCATGTTGCCTCAGTGCCCCCCTTCCCATCCCCAGGGGTCAAACTAGAGAATCTACAGCTCACTGCACTGAGAAAAAGACATCATTCTGGACTAAAAGTTTACTTCCTTTACAAGACGATCCACCTTTTGACTTGTTCCTGGGAAAGGGGGGTAGACAGAGAGAGGATGGGGAAAGGGGAGAAATAGGTTTTATTCTCCTCTTTTTTTATTTTAAAGTTTGTTTTTCCTGAAAAAATATCTTTCTCTCCTCTTAAGAAAAAATCTTGAAAAGAAAAAAATTACCTTTACGTTAGAAATATACATATATTATATATACCTCTTACATTTTACAAATGTAGCAAATTATTCAATACAAACAGACACCAAAAAATGTAAAAAATAAAAAAAAAGTTTTCCTACGAAACCAGGTAAATTAGTGCAGATTTTTGTTTTGTTTTCTTAAAAAAAAAAATAAAGTTGAAGCAAAAATGCCTAGATTTGAGACAAACAGACTGAAGTGGGCCCAAGAGCCCAGCACAGGAGTCATGCTCCTGATCACACATTTTTCTTCGTATTTCAAAAGACACTAAGGGGTTGGTCTCCCTCTCCCTGTATGTGGTGAGGAACAAGCCGCCCAGGGTGTGGTGGGTGCCTGTTTGCATGAGTGGGGGAAGAGGGGCTGGAAGGGGGCATAAGGCAGCATCCAACCTTTCCCAGAGAGCAGCCTGGGCCTGTCACCTGTGCGGGAGCTGAGGGCTCGGGAGAGGGTGGCCCAGACGGGGCCGGCCCCTGAGAAGTCTAAGGGGGACAGACGGTGCCGGGCCAAGGAGCCAGGGCACTGCCCCGCGCGGGGAGGTAGAGCTGGTGCCCACTGCAGGGAGAGGAGGCTGGCAGTGTCCGCCTGGGCCGGACCCGCTGCCACAGCAGTTGCCAACTTGGGGTCACTGGGGAGGAGAGGGTGGGGTGCCAAAGGCTTTGGTACTTTCTGGTGATGGGGGCCCTGATGCTACGTGCCCACTTGCCAAAGCGTCATGGCGTGGAAGCTAGCCCACTAGGGTTGGGTCAAGGTAAATTCTCTCCAGCAGAGGTGGGGAGGGCTCTTCAAGAATCCAGACACAGCACCTGCCGTGGCCAAGCGCCTGTCCAGCCCAGCCTGCTTGAGATCAGCATTGGGCCCAGTGGGCCTGGGTCGGACAGTGAGGGGATGGCAAGAGGTACCAAGAGGTTCTCAAGCAGGCAGGGGAAGAAATGTATTAAAGCAACATCTACAGCCAAAAGACCAAAGTCTCAATTCAAGGCTTTGGACTGCCCACTACAGGCACTGACCCAAAACTCCCACCCCCCAGGGCGCTCAGGTAAGCGTTTCCCACCCTGTGCTAAGGTCACACAATACGAGGGTCCGAGTCCAGGGACTTCTCTTAGGTATCAGAGGCTGGGCATTCCCTCAGCCCCTCACTGCTAACCTTTTTTTTTTTTTTTTTTTTTTGGCCAAAAAAAAACAAAAAACGAGTCCCCCCCCCAACCAGGAA